TCTAACTCAACAACCAAGAGTCCATCTCGGAGCTCATCTTTTCTGACATGTGTATTATGGTGAGATGAAACTTTGTCTTAAATATTGGTGGGAAATGGATTAAAAGTTGCCTATTTTTTACCCTTTCACCCTATATGCCAAGTGTTGGTAACTAACACATGTTCATAAAGTGTGATCCCATTTGTTATGAGGTAAAAGTTCAAATGTACCTCAATGTTTGGATTTAATTGTGAATTTAATTGTGACTGTGGACTTGGTTGTCACGACCCCATCCCGCCCCTAGTAGAATGGTGTCGTGATGGCCAGTAATTCGAGATTACCAAAGGCCAACTTACAAAGATTCACACACAATCAGAGTATACATATGGGGCCTACATGTGCGGAAGCAATAAACAATCGAAGTAGTCTATAAGAGCTGTGCATAGATCAAATGAAATGACATACATTTTAACATGGCTTTACACCTTGGGTACAAATAAAATAAAGTACAAATATTACATCTTGATCAAAAGGCTTCTCAAGCCGAAGTATACAAAAGACATAAATTACAACTAAGAAGCATAATCTTCAAGACGATACAAAACATGAATCAAACATCTTGCACATAACATCTTAGGCGTCACAACCTTCTTGCTCGCCACCTACATATATATAAAGGGGAGGGTGAGCTTGGATACTCAGTGAATGATATAAATAATAAACAAACCAAACAACACCACAAACCCCAACAAACCAACCAACCCAAACAAACCCCAAAAACAAACAACAAAAAACACCCAAACCACCCACCCGTCACCAACCCACCCAAACCACAAACCCACCCAAACACCCCACCCACACCAACACCACCCAAACACAACACCAGAACAACACAAAAAAAACAACAACAACACCCCACCAAACAAAACCGACCCCAAACAAAACACAGCCGCATAACAAAACACAAGCATACACACAACCAAAAAACACACCCGCCCACACAAACACACCCAAACACAAACACCAAAAAAACACACCACACACCCAAACAAAAAACAACAACACACAAAAACAACCCCAAAAAAAACACAAAACACCACCAAACCAACCCCAAAACCAACCACACAACCCAAAACACACAAACAAAACACACAAAAAACAAACAAAACCCAAAAAAACAAAAACCACACCACCAACAAACACAACACCAAAACACAAAAACCAACCCCAACAAGACACCAAACAAACCAAACTACAAAAAAAAAACCAAAAAAAAAAAAAAACAAACAAAAACCACCCAACAAACAAAAACAAAACAACAAACCCAACCACAAAAAAACAAACAAACCAACACACCCCACAAAATACCAACAACAACAAAAAAACAAACCCCAAACCCAAACAACACAAAAACCAACACCCAAAAACACAACAAAACCACAAAAAACAAAAACCAATACACACACCACCCAACAAACAACCCAAACAAACAAAAACACAACCACCCACCCCACCCACGAACAAAAAACGACACAAAACGACAAACCACATACAAAAACACCAACAAACAACCAACCCAAAAAACAACCAATCCCAAACAACAACAACAACAAAAAACCACCAAACACCCAACAACAAATACCCAACAAACCAAAAACCACTACAACACAACACACCACCAAAGACAACCAAAAACAAAACCCAACACCAACAAACCAAAAAAACAACAACACACAACCACCCACACCCACAACACAACCCACCCCCAAACAAACACAAAAACCAAAACACACAAACACCACACCCAAACAAACAACCAACAAAAAAACAAAAACAACAACAAAACCCAAACCAACCAAAAAACAAAAAACACCACCAAAAAACCAAAAACACAAAAAACAATAAAACACCACCCCCAACACACCAACACCCACACCCACCAACACCACACCAACCCCACAACCCCACCCCACCACCACACACCCACCCAAACCCACATACCCACAAAAACAACAACACCAACCACCACACACCCCCACACAACCCACAAACAAACAAAAACCCCCCCAAACAAAACAACAAAAACCCACCGATACCACAAAAACCACACCAACACAACTCAACAACAAAACCCAAAAACAAAACACCAACAACACCACAACAAAAAAACCCCAAAACACCCACCCCACAAACCCACACCCCCCACACAACAAGAACCACCAAACAATGCACCAACACAACCACACACCAACACACACACCAACACCAACCAACCAAACCCTCACACACAACACACAAACCACACCACCCACACCACACCACCAAACCCACCCCCCAACCAAACAGCACCCCAACACCACCAAAAAACCAACCCACAACAAACCACAAACAAACAAAACGCCACACCACATCCAACAAAACCAACCCACCCCACACCTACAAAAAAACACCCACACACCAACCCAACAACCCACCCCCCACAACCACCAAACCCAAAAAACCAACCAACCCGACAACAAAAACCACCAACACCACACACCACACCACCACCACCAACCAACACACCCACACAACCACACACACACCCCAAAAACCACAACCAAACAACACCCCACACAAACCACAAAAAACACCCACAACAAAAACACAAAACCACCCCCCCCAAACACAAACCCCAACACCACAACCCCAACCACAACCAACACCAACACAACCCAAGCCAACACCCACCCCCCAACCAACCCCCCCCCACCACACCCCCAAAACCCAACCAACCACACCCCACCATGACCCACCCGCCCACGACCCCCCGCCACCGCCCACCCCAACACAAACCCAACAAAAACCCACCACGAACCACCAACCACGCACCCCCAACGCCCCCCGCCAAAACACAACCCACAAACCCCAAAACAACCATCAAACCAACACGCCACCCCCCCCACACCCAAAACACGCACCACTAACACCACAAAAACACACACCAAACCCAAAACCACCACCCACCAAACACCCCCACAACCACACAAACACACACCCAAACTTTGTCATCTCGCTAAATTGCTGGTTAGTCGGCAATCTTGAACAAGGCAACAGTCTGACAACCTCTTTTACATAGGCTATCTATCTCTTTCATCCCTCAGGATCTAAGCACCCATACCTCCGTCTGTTGCCTAGCCCCCGTTCCACAAGAAGCTGGCACGTCCAAAGACACAACGACTACCCACACTCGATCAGCTATCACTCCGAGCTGTTTGGCCAACATTCAATCATGCAGTAACTATCGACTGCTTCATAAACTCTCTAGCCTTCATTGTTTTGAGGCCTTACAACCCAACCCCAATCAGCGAATGATTAGCTCTCTAGATATCCTTCACCCATCTACCGAATACTAGCCACTACTCCTGCCCCCGCTCCTTGACCGGTTGAGCCCCCCACTCCAGAATATGGCGAAAGGTCAAGTTTCGCCATATAAAATTATTGCCCAGCACCAGGCGCCATTAGAGATTTAATCTTCTTTCGCGCTGTGCCTGCGGACCGCCACAGGCGTTTTCACCTAACACACCCCCAAATTACCCAAACGACTGCCAGGTACAATATTCTTATTCCCCTGCGCACACCCTAAGTTGCGGGCTTAGCGGAGCCCGACGTGGCCCAGCTCCAGATCTAGAACCCTCGGCCACAACAGTCGGACCAAAACCTATAAGCACCATAATTATTGTCTCTAGCCTAAATTCAGCTCACATATTGAAGACCAAAAACATCATTAACTGCACCAATCATCGAGCCCTACCATCTGCTCACCTGTCTTAATTCCTAACCTGTTGTAAGCCCGGCGACTCAAGACCCACAACACAACCACAGCGACCACTACTTAATTTACCACAACTTGTGGGCTTGAGCAACTAACATTGGTCTTCAACTTTTCTGCAGAACTCCAATCAATTAAGGCATCGTCAAATTTCCTCCAAAAGAAGCTCCATACCTGGATCCGCCCTATCCTCCTCCAACACAAAACTCCTTCCTTGTACCTCCCTGGTCAAAAGCAGGCCCACGATCTTCCGGACCACCCACTCGTAGTCTTTATAAGTACAAGCATTATTTAAAAGATTTTATTTATTTTTTTTTTACAAACACTAAATAAAAACAACCGGGGGAAAAAAAACTTAG